TTACAAAAATGGTGAGATATAGCAAGTGGTTAATGTTACATATGGGAGATATTTCTTAAAATATCTGAGCGCTTGAACATTTTTCATCAGGTTCTGTCTGGAGTAACTTTGTCAGTGCAGCTTTGCCAGCAGGTTTGATAGAAAGCAATACTGAAATCTAGGTGGGTTTTGGAAGTTAAATGTACCTGAATCAAGCCTCTATAAATCAGTGTGAAATAGCTCCCATATAACAGCTTAAGATTGTCTCATATAAATTTTGGATTTGAATGTAACTGAACAAGATGCTTTTTTTTATCCTTAAATAATCCCAAGGAACAGTGCAACCCATGTTGATAAAATTGATAAAGGTCCTTTATGGTTGAGAGAAACTGTAATTTCCTGATTGTTCTACATGCCTCCCCTTGTGTTTTTCACTTTCATACAGTTGTGCCGTTCAAGATGTATTGTATCCCCAGAGACTGCTTCCAGTAGTGTGGATCAAAGTAGTACCTATGAACACCCTAACTACCCAGAGTCATTTCTGAAAAATTAAACATGCCATGTTTGCTTGCATGCTGATTGGGGCACTCTGGTTGCTGATAGCAATCAGTATGAACTTCCCTACTGCTGATGTAATGATGATGAATGCTGTGACACTGCTATTTCAGACAGCTCTTCTCAGCGGATGCAAACCACTTGTTAATGAATTGAATACAACTACAGCAGCATCAAGTAAAACAGGGAAAGGTTTTACTTGTTTCTTTTTTATTTTTTTAATTCAACACGTTCAAAGATACTCCTCAAAAAATTAAAATAAAGCGAAGGAAGGAAGGCAGATGGTTTAAGCTCACAAGAAACATAAAGGAATCTTAACATGCAAATTGAGAATTTTGAATGCTTACTCTTCAGTACTTTGACCAAAGCAAGCAATCTTGTTGAAGTCAGTGAGCCTATTCCTAGCAATAAATATTTGCATGGTCTGGTCTTTAAAATTAATGTATGCAATATAAATAAAATTATTTAAAAAGTTGTTCAGAGAAGAGAAGTGATACAGAGTGAAAATTTCTTGGAAAATTGAAATGTGTGTTCAGAAAAGATCAAGTTTCTTATTCTTCCAAGCACAGGACTGCTCCACTGGTTTTGGTTAGTTTGGACTGTGAGTAAATGAACAAAAAGATGTGAGTTTTTTCCTCCCCAGTATATTATTATTTTTTCTACTATATATACTAAATATATATAATATACTACTATATATACTATAGTATATTTTTACTACTATACAGCACAGTTTTATAACCAGTAAACATAAGGACCAGAAATTACATAATATTAAGTTACTTGAAATAATATTTTTGTTCAAAATAAATTTCCAACATATAGTGATTAATGACACTCCTTTTAAAAGAGACAGTTTTCCTCGTTTAACTAGTTCATTCCAGTAGCATGTTCCTAAAATTCCTCCAATATGATATGCAATTGGGGAAGGCTTACATTTATATTTTAAAAAGAAGAGACACACCTGCAGGCAGGTTACTGTTTTGAGAGGGATTAGGTTTAAAATGGGGATCTGGAATTAATTGCACAGTGGGTTCAGGCTTCAGGGAAATTACAAAAGGTTCAAGCATGGCTGAATGGGAAAAAGCCATGAATGTTTGCTTTCAGGAAGGAATGTTTATCCCTCTATTTACCTATGGAAGTTCAGGCTTTTGCCCATATACTGTTATAGCATTTTCTTGCCTTTCATATGCACATGGAGATGCTGGATAGCGAATGAAACTGTCTTTCAGGTTTTTTGAAAGTGGCAATCCTTGCTGCAAGTAGGTACAGATTGTCTCAAGCCTGGAGGCAGGAACAGGAAAGTCACTGATCCACATGCTGGAGAGAGAAACACATACACCCTAATATACACCCTATATATTTGTATTTTAGTGTGGAGAAAATTTCAGACTGTCTGATTTTTAGAATGCTTTCTGATAGGGGTTAACAACCCCTAACAGAACCCTAGTTAACAACTCCTTGTAGAAAGAAATCTTTACATAACCTTGGAGTTGTTTTTTTTTTTTTGTGAACTGCAGCTCCCATATTTTGGTACAGTTTCTGAGAGAAAACAAAAATCAGCCAGATTTAAGGAGGATTAGATATGTGTGTCTGGCTTGTGTTTTCAACTTAGTCTTAAGGCAATCTTCAGGAAAAAAAAAAATACTTTTGGGGCACCATATTGATCTCTTGATGTCTGATTCCCTGAGGCATATGCTTGGCAAAACACAGCAAACCCAGCAAACCACATCCCTCTAATTATTAGTCTTGCTATCTTTTCTGGCCTTCCGTGCCTTCCCAACCACATGCACCACCATTGATGCACTGGGGGTTTGCTGGATCTGCAGCAATTCCTGTGGGTGTCCATGCCACATGTGTGTGGGTCAGGAGCAGAGGAAGGAAGGCACAGGAGGAAAGGCCTGCAGCACTGGGGCCATTGGCTCATGGTGCAGGGTGCAGAGCTGAGTAAGAAAGTTTACTCTAGTGGTGTTCCTTCTTTCATTCTGACATGAATAAAAGCAGCCTTCTGAATGTAAACTAAGTAGACATGAACCAGAAGAGATGAACCAAGAGCAGATGTTTATATTAGTTCTTGGCCAGTTCTGCAGTTTTCTGTCCAAAAATTTAAATGCTGCTTTAGGCCTCTGTTCTGTCCATACCAGGTAGCATAAAACAGAGAAGTGATGGAGAGTGATGAGAATATGGAATTATGTCTGCTATTCTTCCAGTAATGAAGATGACCCCAAAGTACCACTGGCAGGCTGTTGGGGAAAGAAAATAAAGTAGTCAAGAGAATGGATGATGTCAATCTTACCAGCCACATGTGTCTCTTGAATTGCAGATGACCCAACATACAGCTTTTTTAGTTCTTTCAGCGATGCATAGAAAATAATTAATTTGAGAGAATGTTAAATAACTCAAAGGTGGTTAGTCAGAGGGTACACTGAAGAACTCACTCATGTGGTGGTTGGAGGCTGAATTGAGGCAGGTTTTGGTGTTTATGTGGCCAGGGTTGTATAGAGAAAACAAACATCTTCCTCTCAGTGTGGGGCGAACAGCTTGGCAGCAGTGTCAGCCTCCCCTGTGTCTACTAATGCAAGAGACTGAAAAGTTAGATATTCGAGCTAAATTACTAAACTGGGGTTGCCCTTGCATGAGGTGTGCAAAGGGATTGAGGAAGAAGTCATATGAGAAATTTGAAAAGGTGCTGTTTACAAAGCTCATGTGAGATCTCTCTTCAAGGAGCCTTGTGTATTGCTGGGTAGAAGTCAGGGCTGCTGCAAGTTAAGTATTGTTAGATCTCTCCTACTGAAGACACCTGACATTCCCCTTAGTGTTCTGGTAGGAAGTTGTTTCACAGATCACAATAATATTTATAACACTTTCACAGATAGATCTTGAGAGTAGCCTTACAAGTTCTCTTCTGTGGCAGGCAGAGCTCTGCTATTCCTGTTTTTAGCAAGCAAGAAACTCAAGGGAAGAAAAATGCCTTGCTAAAGCTTAGACAGTAGGTCAGTGGCAGAGTCTGATATCTAGCCCAGTTCCTTGGCTGTGCTGCCTAGCTGAATAATGATTCATTTAGTGATTGGGCTCTACTTTGATCCCTACTGTATAACAATGAGGCTTTGGAGTGTTTTATTGTACTATTAAAAAGAACTCCTACTAGGAAGGTGGGAAGGGGTAGGTTTACTAGACAGCTGTGTTTGTGATGAATTGGCTTTGTAGGCTTTTTTTTTCTTTTTTGGTTTGGTGGTGTTTCTTTTTTTTTTTTTTTTTTTTGACTGTCAGAATTTGGGAAACAGGTTGCTAATATAATTACACTTCATTATACTTTGTGGCTTTTTGAAGCCTTTTGAAAATTTTATTTAAATGGTGTCCTTGAAGAGTGTGACTTCCTTCCATTTTAGACCCATTTCACAACCAAGCAGTGTTGCCCAGAGCAGAAAACTAATTTCTTATTTTTTGTTGTTTTTGCATAGATTCATGTTCAAACTACAAAAGTACCAAGGTATTTGGTTCTAAGCATGATGTCTGCTGAATATTGATGTTTTGTGTAAAGCTTACTTGGACAGACAGGTGTGCATCAAGTTAAACTGCAGACTGATTCTTAATGTTTGTGTCCTTCACACAAACAAAGCCTAAGATCTCTGCAGTCTTGGGGCCTGGTGTGCCTGCACTGCTGCACAAGCAGTGATACCTTTTGCAAGTTTTTGGGCTTCTTGTATTTCCATCAGGAATGTAAAATATCTGAGAATAGGGAGAAATTAATTTGTATTAAATGAATGTGTCACTGGAGATGACACTGAGAGCATCCAGAAAGGCAACCAGATACACCCCTCTACAGGGCTTTATATTTCTAGTGTTTTCATGCAAAAGAAAGTGATGTCATTATCTGCCACCAGCAATAATATTTGTCTTTCCCTGTGGTTTTTGGGGTGTTTCGCCTATACGGTTTTGTTTGAGTTAGATTTCTGAACAAACAAAGTGAGAGATGTTTACATGAGTAACAAGGTGTAGAGATAGACAGGATAATTCCTGCTGCAGTGTGTCCAACACCATGAATGTTGAAATTTTAATATTTGGCTTCTAGAGTCAACATAAAGGTCTGTCTTGATTTTCCTGATTTTTTCCCCTTTTTTTGCCTTGTTCCAAAGTGCTCTTGGCATAAGACAGAAATACTGTCCTTTTTTCCCTTTGGATCCATTAAAACTCCACGGAATTGAAAAAAATGGACCTGCCTATCAAGTAGCATAGTGGTTTGTGATGCTGATTCTCTTTAAAGGCAAACATGCCTAGTTTTTGTGTTAGTATTTCTTTAAATTCCTCAGGAATTCATGCATGCAAACATGATTTGATGAGCTTACAGAACTGTGAACTGCTAATTCAGTTGTGCTCCAGGCTCTTCTTCAGGTGAGAGGGGTGAGAAGACTTGGGCTAAGCTTTCAAACAGTCTTTAGAGTTTATGACTCTCTTGTTTCATTCAGGTATTAGTGCAAGTAGAGCTGAAGTAATGAGAAGTCATCATGGAGGCGCAGTCCCATAGCTCTACCACAACTGAGAAGAAAAAAGTGGAGAATTCCATCGTGAAATGCTCCAGTCGAACAGATGTCAGTGAGAAAGCTGTTGCCTCCAGCACAACTTCCAATGGTGAGTAACAGCAGGGATTTACTAGCAGCCAAACCTACAGTAATTTTATGTTCACTGCATTCTTTGTGAATTGAGCATTTGCACCTGGATCAGTGTTTGTTCTACAGAAAGGCTAAAGAAAACGAACGGAGGAGGGGTGGTGGTGGTGGAAAGTGGTAGGATACAATAAGGCCTGTTTTGGCATCAGGCATAGTCTCTTTCTTCCAGATGTTCTAATTTGAGATGTAAATGTGCTAAGTTATTTATTATAGGAAGTTCCTGGTTTTGGCGTTTTGGAAATTGTCTTGATTAGCCTGGCAGGACCTGCAAGTGCTTTGCATTTGGCCATTGAAATCTCTTACACTAGTTAGGTAATTAGTTATTACTAGAAAGACAGAAATAGGTCTGTCAAAATTAATGGCAAAGTGGTTTTTTTTCTTTTCTTTTACAAATAAACTTCCTTCTCAGAAAGGGCTGTCCCACCTCCCCAAAGTTCCTTAATGCCCAGAACAAAACATCAAGCTAAGTGCGTATCCTCTGGTGGATTAATTTCAAAGTTGTTAATGTATGGCTTGTAGATTTGCAAAACTGGAGTAGTTTTCTTAATTCTCCCCAGAGAGTATATCTCAGTTGACAATTTTACATATTCCCTGCCTCTCAGCAGAGTGTGAGCTAATCCCAGCCCTAGACCTTTTCATTGTTTGGTGTTAAGAGGGCTGAGCATATTGGTTCCTACTAATGCAAAACTCCTGTTGCATTAAGAAAGAAAATTGCTTGAAATGATGTGGGCAGACCTATGGATTTTGGATAGCTGCAGAGTAACTGCTAAAACTTCTGTTTTTTTACAAATCAGTCTAGTTATGGCTAAAACCAGAAAATGCCTTTCTGTATATCTCTTTCAGTGTATTTCTGGCAAAACATTTTCTGTTCACACTTTCTGCTTTCATCGTGCTCACTTATCTGGGCTTGTGGTCCTGGTCAGGTTCTCACTTTGATATCTTGGATAAAGATTTCTGCTTTCTCAAAGAAACAGGTAATGTCCCACTAGACTACAGGAAAAAATACATGAATACTACAGCCATACTAGAGAGGAATCTCCATGGGTCAGTAAAAATTAGATGGCACATGTCCCAGTATCCTTCTGTGTGACTGGACTTCAGATTCAAAGCAAACTCAACACCTGCTGACCTACTAGATGGAACTGATCCCCATGAGAGTATAAAAACCCTTGAGGTGCAATGGAAAAGGTTGCATCAGTTTTCTAAGGCATATGAAATTAGATCCTCAGCTGGTGTAAGTCAGCACAGATCCGTTGTTGTCAATAGAATTACAGTGGTTCACATTAGCTGAAGAGGTCCCCATTGTATTTTTTTTAATCGATAATAGGATTTTCCACATTGGCCCAACTTTTCAAGCAGAGGCACAGTTAAACACATATGCATATTCTTTGATGTGTTAGGGGCTTGTACTCAAACATTCATCTCTGACTGGGCTAGCTTGAATGTTATTGGTAAATATTTAGATTTAGAGGGCTAAAATGAAATCCTTCAAGATGTTTTTTCCTAATTCTGACACTTATCTACCGTGTGGTCAAATAATTTTCTTTCTTTAATAGTAGTATTAGTTCTTAGCTATATGCTTCACCTATGGGGAGTGTTACTGCATAGCAGGGTCATCGAACTCCCAGGAGCTGGAAAGACTTCAAGTCTAATGAATTACTGCAAAGTTGTGTCACTGGAATTATCCCCTACTAATGGAAGGACATGCTAATGTAGTACACATCCTGGGGCCCAAGGCTTCCTTTTCTTAAGACAATGATAGTTAACTTTGTTTTCAGTGGGTAAGTGTTGGCATTGTTAGTCTTTGTATTTAAGGAAGTCACCAGGATCTCCAAGGTTTGGGTTTCTAATCTACCTTCATGTATAACAGAGACACAAGGCTTTCCAGAGATGCAGTGTTGGCCTTCAAAGAGATAAAAAATTTGATTCCTTCTTTGATTTGAAAAATTTCCTGTTAGTCTAGAGACTTCGTGGAGCATGTACCAAAACAAATACTAGTAATAAAACTTTAGGAACTTGAAAGTTTTACTCTTGCAGTGTTTTAAAAGTTTTACTTCTTGCAGCTGTGATTGTCATGATAATGAATTTTGGTTACAGGGACAATTTACATGAAAGCTGCAGCTTGCATCGTATTTGCATCTTTTGTTCTTTAATTCTGGAATGAGTATTACTACAGGAACCTCATCAGTTGCTATAAGACACCACTCCTACAAAACGTGCAGCTTTTATCGATTCAGTGCCTCTTTTTCTTTTTGCAAAGGGCTGTGGTAATGTTAAATGTTGTGATTTGCATTTGAATGCTCTGTTAAACAAGGTAAGGTATGCTTAAAAATAACAAAAGGCCAGAATGATCCCTGCTATTCTTCTCAGAAGACTGATGTCATTGCAGAGCAACATCTGCCCATCATACCAATGTCACTTCATAATCGTGTCTAATATCAGCGCTTCTATCCTTCTGGACAACTCATGAATTAACAAAGTTTGCAGAGTAAAGTTTTATTGATACCTGTCTGAGGTGTGATGTACTGACTAGTATTTTCTCAGTATCTCTGCTGTCTGCTGAAGGACTCAGAACTTGGATCATAGGCAGATGGAAAGCTGCTAGTTATAGCTTTTATACAAAGCATACAGTCATGAAGAAACAAAGAAAATGTCATTAGTTCAGCAGCTCCCAGAAATAAGTAATACACCCAGGAGAAGAATCTATGCTAATATGGTTATTGAGTGTGGAAAAGTTTTAAATCATATATTGTTCAGACTGTGTGTTGAAGAGTCTGGTGTAAATCTAGATGCAAGGAAAAGAAAGAGGGAAAGGTGACCTGGAAGGGGAGCTCACATGTTATCCTGCACAGTGCAGTAGAAGTTCTGAGGCTCAGACTAGGGGTGCCCTTTGGAAGGTACCAGCTGCTCTGTAGTCTCAAGCACTGAGCAGGCATGGGCCACAGTTTACACATTAGCCACTTCTGCTTAGTTCCTGTCATTACTTAATACCATAAAGATTTCTGCTGCACTCACCTGACTACAAACTGTGTTGCTGAAATGCTTGCAATGTGTTAGATATGGACCTGCCAGCATTTCCATTATAAACCCCTAAATTTCAGGATTTATAACTAAGCCATTAAAATTTGCTCCAGGACAAAACATGTACTCGAGCAAATTAAAACTTCTTTTAAAATACATGTGATCAAAAAATTAAAAAAAAATCATAATTTGTAATGACTACAATGTGAAAGGAAATGTAATAAGAAAAATCTTTGGTGCACTTCAATTCTTAGTGAAACCACTCATGCTTTTTTTTGAATTCATTTTTGCAAGCTTTTGCTTTTTTTCTTCTTTGTGTTTCATTTCGTGTGTCTCAAACAAACTGCACTAAGTTTACTAGGATTGTTCCTTTTCATCTTTTGTTTGACTGCCTTATTTACTACTAGACTAATATCCAGGGGGACAAAAACTGCTGAAGAAAACTGCTAATGGAGATGTTAATTCACAAAAGGCTGTATGAATAACAAAGTTTGTGCTAACGCATGAAGTAAGCTTAGTTTTATGTTTGGTGGGATTTGGTAACCTCAGGCTGATCTGCTTTGGCAAGGTAATAACAACAACAAACAAATCACATTTATGTCATGGCTGTGCCACTCATATTACACTGGAGTAGAGACCAGTGCCCTGGACCACCTAGCTAACACAGGGCTGTGTTATTTGGTCTTTTTTTCTCATATGCACATTTGTGCCACTTCTCTGGAAACAAAGCACCCTGTTCCTTACCATGTCAGAGCATGGATTTAGATTGTTCTGAAGGTTGCTGCATGCACATTCAGGTTTCTATCAAGTTGTGCAAAGAATGGCATTCTTAAGGGTGGTATCCACTGATAAACTCATTAACATTAGTTCTGTGCTCTCATTGAAGAGCCTTTGTCTGGTGTTGCAAGTCACAAAACCTGCCTTGCTAGACATCTGGTGGATAATACAGTACCTCCTGTATTTTCAAGTAATTCCAGTGTTAGAAAGAAATCATCAGGTGAATTCTGGAAATGTTGCAGGATTCTGCCCAGTGCCTTGTCTTGCTGCACTGTGATGAAGTCATGCCGCTCCTCGGCCCCTGTGCCTCGCAGCCTGACGGACGAGCTGTCTGAGGCCAGCAGCACGCCAAGTCCGCATGTCAAGCTGAGCGCTGCAGTGCTGGAGCAGAAAACTGCTTGCTGCCATGCCCTGCCCGTGCAGCTGTGCTGTTTGCACTGGTGCAGTGCCCTCCTGCTGCTGCCCCGGCACCAGGAGTCGCCAGCCTTCCTGAGCATTGCAGTAAAGTTATGAACTCCAGCCTGGTGAACTTAAGCAAATGCCTTGCTTTAGCCATGGGACTAGTTCTGTTTGCCCTGATAATGTGCGTATTTGCATGCTTACAATTAGGCAGTGGCTTTAATGCTTTACCAGGCTGGCTGCTTTGACTCTGAGTTCTACTTTGCAGATGAATTGGATTTATTCTTAGGGTGCTTCCTTAGAGGCATTGTTTAAAAAACCCATGCTAATTTAACACAGCCCTCAGCTCAATGCCACTTGGTTTTTTGTGGTTTTTTTTTTTTTTTTTCACTTAATCTGTACCATAGATATAATTTTTTTTTTTTGCCTTAATTTCAGAAAAGTAGAGGGAATTTCTGTAAGGACTGGACTGATACTTGTACAAGGCAAGACTGCACTTCACAGCATTGCTTGGAGAACATTAGGAAATTGTGATGCTGGATTCAAACCTGATTTATTTACTGTTTGGCTTGTGAATTTTGTTGGTGATTTGAATGCTTTACTCTTTTGGACATTTTGGCTTAAAACTGATGTTTTTAATGTTTCATTAAAACAATGCACTTATTGTATAGGAGCTCTTTCAGTGTCTGACAACCAAGCACTTATTTTCAGTTTGATATGTTTTGTCTAGTTTTTGACCCATGAGCTTGTTCCAGTGTAATCTGA